TTTTTTTTTCTGCTCACCCGATCTGAAGTCTCTATCTTCAATGTAGTGTACACATCCGGGAAAGTGAGTCAGAGCTTGCCTCGTGTGGGCAATCTCACTGATCACGATGGATAGGTGGAAAAAACATGCTTAGACGCTTTTTCCACAACGTGCAGGACTCACACTGCATAAGAAAACATGGTCAGCATTACGTAGTGCACATGGCCCGACCATATGTGGAAAATGCTAATGAAGCACTGTCCGCTTCGCTGTCTTTGTGTTTCGAATGCACTGCGTGCACAGGAAATGGACAGCGGTCCACTCGTGTGCGACTGCGGCACACCTTTCATTTCCTTACGGACTTTAAACTCGCATCGTGCGAGGGCATGCCCGGCCGTGGTGGAAGACGGGGCGCAAAGGCAAGAGAACAATGTTGCCCACGACCCAGGGCCATCCGACATGGGCGCAGCGAATCTCGCAAGTGATGACAGCGACAACGCGGGGGCAAAGGACAACGCGAACGGGGCAGCGGGCGACAACGCAGAACCGGAAGCACAACCCGTCGAGCCTTTTGACAGCTCGCGCAGGCTAGCAGCGCTTATTTTGTCCGAACGTGGCGGCATCGCATTGCGGCGTTGATGCTCTCTTGTCACTTCTCAAAGACTCGAGATTCAGCGCGGCGGACATTGCGTACCGCAACAGTCGAGAGTGCTTCGCATGGGCGGGCAGTCTCGCAGAGGCCGCCGGGTGGAAGGAGTCGGACCTGCGTAGTGACGACTGGCCTGAAGGAGCGCACGCCATCTTGTGGCACCGCGATTGGCGAACTACATTCTTGTCGATAATGCAGGTCGCGTTGCAGAAATGCGAGACGGTTCATTCCCTTGAAGTGTCCCCGTCGTCGGACGACCACAGTGTGTCCGGTCCGCGCAGTGGGGCGCTAAGCTATCACACGCAGTCAATCATTCGAGCGCACAAAGGTGTCGACGGGAATGGAAATCCACGATATGTGATCCCTCTCTCACTCTACTCCGACAAGACACACACAGACGGTCGTCAGAAACAGACCGCATACCCTCTTATGATGTCGCTAGCCGACCACGCGTCGGAAGCCACTATGCTGGCCTATCTCCCCGTGCTTCATCATCGACCCCATGACAAAGGATGGGGTCTTCAGTCCAGCGCATTTAGGAAGCGAAAGGCCGTCATCTTCCACAAGGCCCTTTCGATGGTCTTGCAAGCTGCGAAGGAGTTGTCGCACGACGGCATCACGATACCATCGACGCGATTCGGGGACGTGACTGTCCACCCTTTCCTCCCCAACTATATACAGGACTATCCAGAACGATGTGCGCTGGCGAATGTGAAGTTTGGTGTATGCCTAATATTCACCGTGTCGAAAACGGACCTCGATGTTGTGGCTGATTTCAGGGACTGCAGGAGATCCTAGACGCTGGAAACCCAACTCGCAGAAGCCCTGTTCACGGCGGACGACGATGACGTGCGCCGCGAAGCGCGAAGCGGGAGGGCGAATCGCAGAGTTGGACATGCATAGGCATGTTGAACAGAACGGCCTTTGGTGGTTCTACTGGAGGCCGAGCGGCGATGATTCTGAGCTAGACTACCACCTCGCATTGCAACCAGACCGTATGCACACGATCGAACATGGCATATTCCTGCACATGGTCGACGCATTCAGGGCGGCAGCCTTTGAGAAGTTGCCGCACACACCGCAAACTGAGATCCTGAAGGAATTCGATGCGAGATTGCAATGCGTTAGTGAGAGATATACGCGAACATATCCGCAACTTGTGCTGCCCATGGCCACAGGCAGCGATTGTTTTTCTAGAGAGGGACGCTTCGAGGCGAAGCAAAACCGGTCTGTGATAACAATGTGCATGTTCCTCATTTTTAATATAATCCCGCGCTCGACAGGCAAGGGCATTACCGCCTGTTTCGTCAAGCTGATGCAAATGTACGTACGTTTGTTTCGGCGCACAGCACACACTCAAGCTTCCCTCGACGAATGTGACGCGTTGATGATGGACTTCATAACGATCATCAAAGCGAAATTGGGAAGATACCAACCATCGAATTGGAAACTCCAGAAGTTGCATGATCTTATGCACATGAGAGCGAGTATCGAGCAATCTGGTGTGGCCGACACATTCGCTGCAGACGTTTGGGAGCATCACCACAGGAGATTCTGCAAACAACCGTACTTGTCATCGAACAAAAGGAAAGCGTCAACGCAGATGGTCAACCACGTGCGCCGGTCGCTGGCGTTGCAGGAGGAGACCGGAATTGTAAGGAAAAGAAGGAAAAGGGCCGTTGAGAATAGGTCTTCTGTGACGGACTGTATGGCAACGGGGTTGAACACCCTGGCACTACGAGACACGTCAATCCTTCAACTGCGCTGGTTCGACATCGATCAAGACCAGATACGCGAGGTGGAAGGCGTTGGCAGTCGTGCGTGTCAGATACTCGAAGAGCTCCCTTTCAGAACCAATTTTCGTGCAGCGATTACGGCGTACATGGCGGAGAATGGTTGTCAACCTCCTACCGATGATCTCGCTATACACACGCGAACACATCTCGCCATCCCTTGCACGCAGGACTGAACAAACAGGGGCACACTTGTTCAAACTGCACGAGCGTCGCCGCGGTTCCACGAGAGACCAGTGCACAGTGACGTCGCAATAAGAGTAACCAACGAATGTACATGGTTCGCATCAGTGGCCATGTTTTTCGTCGTCGATGCACCCACAGACGGCGGCAATGTGGAACACAAGTGCGCTTTTGTGCAGTGGTACAAAGAGGTTGACAGTGAACGCGAACACGTGACAGGTTGCAAGGAATTGAAATGGGAGAGTGCGAATGGACATCAGCACAGCAGCGTCGTCTCGATCGACACCATCGTGGACACCGTTCACATTGTTCCGCACTTCTGTAAACCACAATGGGGATCGAAAATGCATGCGCGCCACCGTGAGGACTGTTTTTTTTTAAACAATTACATATTGTAAAAGGAATAAATTTGAAGTTTGTGTGAGTGAGTGAGAGAGAGAGAGAGAGAGAGAGAGAGAGAGAGAGAGAGAGAGAGAGAGAGAGAGAGAGAGAGAG